AATCTGAATACCAAAATCCCTCTCAAACTAAACCAAAATCTGGATGGAGAAATCAATACCTTCAGGAAAAAAATTACATGCAAAAATACGTACCAAAATCTAGAGAGAGAAACAATTTGATACTTCAAAGAAAAAAACTAGACTTCAAGAACAAGCCTCTCTCTCTCTCTTGAGCAGAGACTCTCTTGACTCTCTTTTAGAATGCCCCTTCTGCTGGCCTCACGTGATAATATGTCTCTCTCTCTCAATCAGCCTCACAAGACCTGATAGAATGCCTCTTTCTCAATCAGGGGGACTATTTATTAACAATTTGTATGTAAGAAAAGTCTTATACGAGTCAGTTAATTGGACGGTACAAAACAAATTCCTCTTAAAATGGCAAATTTTTAAATTTCAAGAACTTTATCTTTTTGTATTATAATTATCTTTATCTGGAATTCCTAAAAATCTATTATCTATTATTAAGGGTAAATTGGCAGATTTTTAAAGTTCAAGAACTTTATTTTTGTTGTATTATAATTATCTTTGTCAATTTTTATGTAAGAAAAGTCGAGTCAGCTAGAGCCTTACAATTGGACGCTCCAAAATAAATTCCTCATAAAATGGCAGATTTTTTAATTTCAATAACTTCATTTTTTTGTATAATAATTATCTTTATCTAGAATCTCTAAAAATCTATTATGCCCTTATCTATTATTACGGGTAAAACGGCATATTTTTAAATCTCAAGAACTTTATTTTTTATATAGTAATTATCTTTATCTGGAATCCCTAAAAATTTATTAGTGGGATTGTTTTACAGGTATGTTTAGATTCAGAAGTATATTTCAAAATTCGTATATTTCAAAAACATCCAGATTATTCTACTCCAAGTTTCTATTATTGTATTTTTCTAATCCAAGTTTGAAATACCTTGGATATTCAAAATCCTTGGAGTAGAAAAAAAAAAAAATTGGTATATTTCAAGAGTGAATGGTCCTAGGGACCTCTTCTCTCTCTCCTTTTTCAATGTCCCATAGTAATTATTTATTATAAGTAATTTTGGTCTCTAACCAAGTTTTGAAAAATGTGATGGATGATTCCTTGGGTCATTAGACAAATTTATATAAGCTCTCTAAATCTTCTAAGGATAAATAAAAAAATAAAAATATCCAGATTCAATGGATAATTCTCTCTCTTTCATATACCTATTTGTCTGGTTTCTTGATCGTCATTGTAATTCAATTACTATTTTTATGGTTTCTTCAAATTGAGAGACAAGGTGAAGAAAGGGAGAGAGAGGGCAAGAGATGTAGAGAGTGAGAGAGCTCAAGTAGGGAGTCCTTCATATCTTAGGTTACTAGGAGTTTACCTCGTATTCGGTGTTCCTGCAGGACCCAGATGAGTATTTGGTCCTCTAGGCAGAACACGATGACTACATATATCGTTGAAATTCTTCAAAAAATATTTGATTATCCTTGTGATCATTTTTGCCAAGAGATGGAATTAATAAGATAATATCAAAACCATGTAGGATAGAAAAAAAAGAAGAAAAAAGAAGAAGGAATTAAAGTATCCATTATGAGAATGCTCATTTTCTTGAGCTCATAATTTGATTAAACACAAGCACGAATATCAAACGAAATTTTCAGGAATTAAAGTATCCATTTTTTATTCAATCGTGTTGGATTTACTTTCATTATAACACTTTCATTGTTATTGGGTTCTGGTTTCTCATGTAACATGACTCAACACGATTGAATCAAAATCCAAGAACCCAATAACAAAGAAAGTAATACATGGGACTAAGAGAAAAATACGGCACAAAGGAGAAAATTTCACATGTAATTATTTTTTTTAAGAATCGCCCAAATTATTCTAAAACAAATGAAAGGATTAAAATATATAATAATGATAAGGAACTTACTTCAATGCAATAGCTCTAACAACCAAAAGGATTAAAATATATAATAATGATAAGGAACTTACTTCAATGCAATAGCTCTAACAACCAAGCGTGAACCAGAGAACCACCTATGTGAGTCTCTTCTCAAACTTCCTCTTCCTCTCTAAATTAGGTGTAATATTCTTAATTTATAATACAAGGGGATTCATTATATTATAGGATCTGGGTGGCTTGATATTTAAACTTATGATTAAGATAAGATAAGGATCTTTTCGGATTAATGAATAAAAGCTTGGAATCTTGTCTCAAAAAATAAATAAATAAAAATAAGGATCTTTCAAAATAAAAATCGAGTTATTCTAGATTACTATTCGTTGGGTGCGTTGATAATATCTATCTGAAGAGAGAGAGAAAAGAGACACGTTGGGATAAAATAGGAGAAAAATATGGAAAGTTGAATCTAACGGTTGAGATTATCCGGTAGCTGTCTTAATACGGTCCAGATGAAGAGAGAGAAGTTGGTGGCTGTCCTAATACAAAAGAAATAGGATAGAGAGAAGTTGAGATAGATAAGAAGAGGGAGAGAGGGCCATTACAATTTATTTAAAAACTTAAATTTCAAGATTTTCTTTTTGATACTTATCCGATTTTCCCTCTCTCTCTTAAAAACTTAAATTTCAAAGTCATGTAATAAGATTTTAATCCATAAGTAATCAAGAAAATCTTAGCACCAAATCCCAACTATTTACCTTTAAATTTGGACTTTCACGGAACGGAGACTAACAACCTATTACATATCTATTTTTAATGTTCCTCCCTTTAAAATTAAGATTTGTTCAATTAAAACAAATAATTTTTATACTGAAAAATCTGAAAAAAAAAATAAAAATATTTGACACTAAAAATCTGGAATTTTATTACAACTAATTTTTAGAAGCATAAAAATTCATCCAAAAATACAAAGTTATCCAAGTGGTAAAAAAACAAGGAAATTATACACTCATTCTTCTTCTTTTTTTTTTTTTTTAAAAAAGTCATCACAAAAAAAAAAATTGTTATCAGAAATTTGGATGATAAAATATTTTTTAAATTCAAAATATTGTTGAAAAATAAATTTAACTTATATATCATTAAATTTTATAAAACAATAGGTTTGTTGGTCACTAATAAAAAAAACATCACATTACAAAAATTCAATGTTCTTATGAAGATTATAATAATAATAATAGATTAAAAAATTAGAAGAAAAAACAAAAGGAACGAGCAAAATATTCTGAAGATAGAAAATAAAGGGGAGTAAATTATGTATGGACTTGGAATAATTATCTAAAAAACAAATTATAGGTGGAAATTACAAGGAAGGCTGGCCAATCAAAGGATTTTTTTTTTTTTTTTCTAAAATTTCCTTTCGGTTTTGAGGATTCCATCCTCAAACCACACTTTCAATTTTTTTTTTTTTAGTTTTTCCGTTAGTAGGGCAGTGTCCAAAGACATTAAAATGCAACTTTAAAAATCCAAAAATTCATCTCAAAATGAATTTTAATTTTTAAAAATCCAAAATTGCTAAGAGGCTAAATGAAATTTTTAGATATTTCAATTGGCAAATAAATTTTGGATTTTCAAAACCCAAAATTGTCAGGACACTTTCTTTTGGGTAAATAAAATTGTGATGACATTAATTTTCTTTTCAATATTTGAATTTATAAAATAAAAAATGTTAGGGAACCCTAAAAAGCAATTATTCAGATGCTGAACATTCGGAAGTTTAAAATGGATTTTGAAAATCTAAACAAGGGAAATTTAGTTAATTAAAAAAATCAACCGTTGAAGAAATTATACGAACTAACAACAATTCATATTAAAAAAAAGAAAAGGAAAGGAAATAACGATGGCACAAGAAAGGCATAAATAGAAAAAATCGATATTCAGATTTTTTGTTTTTTAAGATTAACTTACTTTAAAGAGAGCCTTTGTGGAATGGAGATTCTCCTTAACCCCCTCTCTCTCTCTCTCTAACAATTGCTCAAAATAATAAATTGATCAAAATACCCGTAAAATGTTATTGTCAATTTATATTTTATAAATTATTTTTTATATATTTTTATTAAACAAGCCTTGATAAGAAAAAAGAACGCCTAAAATTTCAAGTGATTTTAATTTGTAAAAAAAAAAAATTCAAATATGAAATTAAGTTATAATCGTCAGATTGGCCCAAATTGTTGGCTAACACTGTTGTCAACTCGTGGATTGATAAGATCATTTTTCGTACACTGCTGTCAGCTCATGAATTGATAAGATCTATTCCTATATATATATATATATATATATATATATGATACTACAAAACACCTATAAATGAAAATGAACCATGATTTCGCGTATCCTCATCACTATCCAAACTTTATCGCATAATGCAGTTGTCAAATAATATTTCAATTTGCATTATTTTGTTACTAATCGGAATGATCTGAACTTTGAAAAGTGTATACATCATAATGAAACGCACCTAATAAAAATATGAAAAAAATAATTTATAAAATTTAAATTAACCAAAATAACTCCATAAATATTTTGATCAATTCATATTTTACGAATTATTTTTTTTATATTTTTTATCAAATACACCTCAATAAAATATACACACACTCCAAATTTCAAGTAATTTAAATTTATAGGAAAAAAAATAAAAATTAAAACATAACCGGATAACTGTGATCTTGCTATAAAATTTAAATGGTAATTAAGATAGACGAAATCACGGTTCATTTTCACTTATAGGCATTCGGAAGAGTTTTTCTCTCTCATATATATATATATAAATGCAATTAGAATATAATTTTAATGTAATATGTTCTTAAGATTATCTCAAAATCTATTTTTATACCTAATTATAAATTTTTAATAAATACATGAACCGGACCGTGTAGATAATATGTTATAAAATGCACTTGTTCTGAGACTTAAAATCTTTTTATTTTTCATAATCATACATCTCGATGTCGAGATGATCAATCAAAGGTAACATTAAAACTAACTTTTCCAATGAATTTTTGAGGGGGCATCCGTAATTCTAAAGCATCCTCATATAAACTTTTTCCATATTATAAACTAAAAGAACAAAACCCACTCTGTTCGCGTTCAATTGCTTTCAGTTTTGCATTTACGAACGTAAAACACAACCAACATAGATATACAGACCCATACATGATAAATGGTTCGGAGGCCCTTCAGTATCAATGAATTGGTTTCACTGCACACGCCTTATACTATCATACAAAAACCATCCAGGAGTATGGTATAAAACACTGGAACAAAAGCTAGATATCTTCAGCTAAGAAACTATTTTAACCGCTTCAAAATAACAGAGGCAAATGTGTGAAAATTTATTGTCTTTCCAAAGAATTTAAGATAGCACGAAGAGAAGCGCCTTAGCAGTCCTCAGCAATCATATGAATCCTTTTAGCTGATGTTTTCATTGACTTCTAACATAAACAAATATTACCCATAAAGAACCTTATCCTGAAGATCTGTTAAAAGGTTGGAGGCCAGTGATGTGAGCTTCTTTCCTGTTTCCCCAGCCATGTTCTTTAGGGATGAGATGTCCTGCGATGCCTGCATAAATCCGAAATAACCAATGTCAAATCATAAACGAATTCTTCTCCTTCTTTCATTTTCATATAATTTGTAAAATTTCAAAATGTTCATATAAATCACAATTATTCCCGGGAGCAGAACCAAATTCACTATGAGGAGCATATCAAACCTTGCGAATGCTAACTAGATGGAGAATAATATGTAGGCCAACAGCATGAATCCTTAAGCAAAGAACTTTATAATTCAGAAACTATTTATAACACTACAGTAGCTTCCAAAATACCACAGAGGCCTTTGAGATCTATTTACACTAGCATTTAACGTTTTTTTTTTTGGGGGGCCATACAATTCAAAGATTGCAGTGAGCATGTTGCAAATATGGAAATTAACAATCATTGAGAATAGAAGCTAGCCGCCCAAATAGCTGGAAAAGGCTCAATGATGATGACTGAAGGAAGAAGCGACTCGATTGTTTCGGCAATTAAACTTCATATACAATACCCTCATCACTGAGGGTATGGCATTTAATAGAGCAGACTGGTGCACCAAGATTCATGCAGCTGACTCCAAATAATTGGAAAAGGCTATGATGATGATGATACACAATGACCATCTAAACGTTGGCGGCTGTGGACTTTTCTTTAATTGTTGAAAGATCTATAATATACAAGACACAAAAACAGGCCCCAAAAAGAAAATAATGACTCTAGACAAACAAAAGCTATTTCTAGTGCTCAGCAAAGGAATAAAAAAACAAAGACAAGAAGTCAAACAATGTTCTATGTGATTTATGTATCATTAGCTTTCCCAAAATTTCTAGCTTTCAGACATGAAAGATATCTATCAAGATGAGTTTGGCCAATGAAGAAGAAGTACCTGGAATGAAATCCGATTGATAAGATCACTCGCAGACAAATCAAGGCTAGGATCATCCATGTTATGTCCAAAAAGATCAGCACTGGATATCGATGTTGAGCTCTACACAAAGCATTGACCAATTACCAAACACAAGACGAAAGAGAAAACTAACTTACAGAGAGACTTAGTGATTCGAAGGGGAAGAAAAAAATTATAACCTGATGCTATCTGCAAGATGCAACATTTGAATGCTGCCTAAAAAGGAGAAAAACTAGCCCAAGCATTCATATGGACATATTTTGTCAAGTCATTGTGCCCATTGAGATGATGTCAAACAAAATCTGAAATTTTGGGAACCAATTAAGAATTACAAGATGATTACTCTCGAAATTATTTTTGAAAATTGAGTTTTCTAACACTTGGACCTCACCATCTAAAAATTGGAAAGTCTCTATTCAATCTCTAGACATTGTTTTTTCAAGTGCATAGTGGGTATGATAAGGATTTTTTTTATCTATGGATTGAAGGGCTTACATCCCTAAAATTTGGGGCCCTAAACCTAATTCTAGGTGGGGTTGTACCTGAGGGAGTTAAAAGAGATTCTACTCTCATGGGAATAGAATATCTTTTAGCCAAAAAAAACACCACAAAGGCCAATTCCAACAAGAAGGGGAGTTGCTTAGAATCAGGAAAAAACTTTTGTTTTTTTTTTTGGAAGGGTCATTGACAACTCTTAGTTGATTAGTGGAATTACAAAAGTCAGTCACACTTGAATAGTGGGAGTAGACCAAGCTGGGCCAGTTTTCACTAAATGGGTGTACAAAAGAGAGTCTATATAATACGTTTATATGAACGTGTAAATATGGGTGTATGCATGTGTGTGTGCGTGATATGTACTGCACACGCACAAACACAAGACGCATACAGAGAACAGGGGGCGAGGAAGAGAGAGAGAGAGATAGCATACTGAGAACTTTTGCAAGGAGATTTGGGCAGAAGCATCACTGGCTTTGCTTTGATCCCCGAAGAACTGAGCTGATGAAATAGATTTTGCATTAGAAAACTTTTGTTGGGCTTCGTTGGTTTCCTCAACCTGCAGTCATGAATATAGACATCAAAAGATGGAAACAACTGCCTAGACACATGCTAAGGATTATTGTAACAAAAAGGGCAGTGACAGATATCCAAAGGAAGAAATGCTTAATATCTGTTCTAATAGCAGAGACAAAATTGTTAGAGCTCCAATTGGAGAGGGAAAAAAAATAATTTATTGCCGCTAATCACTTATTCAAAATTTGAAAAGCTCTACAGAATTTAAATGAGTAGCACCAGATATTAGATACGCCCTCACATGTTAGTTCTACAGAATTTAAGAAGATATAAAACAGGTAGGCGCTCCTAAGTTATGAACCATATACTCATGGGAAAGGGGTATACACCTCCTAGTTCCTAGGGGGTAGGATCTTTTGGTTACGTTCTAAGATAGCTTTTGCTATGGTTGGTTATGAAGGACAGGATATTTGAACAAAAATTTTAAGCTGAACTCCATTAACAAATACACTAAAACCAGGAGAAAGGGCACATGAATCGTCTAAATGCGCTAAAGTCGGGGTAGAATTCCTTTGCAGACTATTCCAACAAAAGGATGGTAAACAAGCACCTCAATAATCAGAAATTAGCCACATGATAGAGAGAATTAACAATTAAATTTGTACAAAATATGAAGGAAGCATTAAAAGAAAAACAATTGAGGTTATATCATAGAGGATGAGGAAGGACATCTGTCACTTTGTAAAGAAAGATAATTTCCAATCCTCAATTGTTAAGGATATTAAACTCGCCATTGAATGTAAAAGACATGGTGGTCTCTCCTATTGAGGAACCTAAAATTGAAACTGTGGTAAAATGGAAATCGAATAACAATGTACCTAATCAATAGCTTCAAAGCAAGCACAAGCAGGGTTAAGCAGTGTTTCCAAAGGCAACGGTACGATAGCTATTCTCCAATATGATGGGCATCAGGTGTAACAAGCCCTTCTCAAGCCAGGTATTTGGAATGGAGAACTACTATATGTTTGTATGAGGACCATTTCTCAGACTATAGATTATGGAGGTTGACTTCCTAACCTCATCAATTCACTCCATCGGGAGATCAATTCTTTAGAGCCTGGAGGAGTTCTTTCAGAAATAATTTGTACTTTTGTCAAGTTGTTACCCATGTCATGGAATCATCGTGCAAGATAAAGGCTCTAGATGCTTAATGAAAAAGAGGAACTGATATCCACACATATCAATATTTAGACCTACCATTACCAATGAATCCACCAAAAACTTTTAAAAAGATTAGATCAATTGTAGACGAAGGCTGAAAGCACACCCATGGCCATGCAAAAATGGGTGCACCAGAACAACCACCGCAATTGTAACATCCCGTCACTTTTTGCAGGTATCTAAATGATGGTATCAACACATTCAAAACCCAATGCAGTATAACAAGAGCCCAACATGGATCATGCATTGAATGGACAACCTATGGGAGCAAAAGTGCCTCTTTATGGCACAGACGTTGTGAATGCTCTGACTCAGGTTCCCAAAAAACACAAAGGAAAAAATACACAATGGTGCCCACGTCACTCTCAACCATTGGTCACAGCTATAGACAGTCTGCCTGTCAACTGATCCCTAAATGAATCCCAATTGGCATAGAAACCTTCAGTAAAGACCTCCTATAGGACAAGCCAGTCCTCATGCAATTGCAGTTCTCTTAGTGCACCTTCTTAGTACCGAGTTTATACTTTGGAAAAATTTGACACCTAATGCCACAAGAGTACGTATTCCTCAGTGATCCCGTTTGTGGTCAAACCCCCTTGCTGGATTCGTACTCTTAATTTGCCTGCAATAACTGTGCATATTATTCAAATTTTTGTTGCTTGTGGACCGACACATGTGTGTATCAATCTTTTTATTTATCTATCGTGTGTGTAGAGAAAGAGGGAGAGAGTGAATGAGTAAGAGCGAGAGTGAGGGAGAGTGAAAGAGAGAGAGCATGTGGACTGACATTTGTATGTGTGGAGAGAGAGAGAGAGAGCTTGTGGAATGACATTTGTGTGTTAATGGGTTTACTTATCTATCATGTGTGTGTGTGTAGCGAGGGAGGGAGGGACAGAGGCAGGGAGAGAGAACCAATATTTTTCAACAACCTCTATATAGACATGTGCCATCCCTATAAACAAGTCACAAATATGCATAGTAAAAGTATGAGGAACCCCATAATCTATGAAACCTGAATAGTCAGTAAAGAATTACCTGCACTTTGGAGTAAGCGGAACTTGGTTTTTTCTTGATTCCACTATCCATTCCAAAATCAGCAAAGAAGCTGCTTGATTTAGGTGGAGAAACATGGTTAAGTACTTGGGTGCCACCAGAATTGGGCTCTGCAGACTGCATGCTCTCAACATATTCAAAGCGTGATGGAAACGATGAGCCAAAAGACGGTGCTGCACTGGCATTAGTTGATGAACTAACAACAAGAGCTGGTTCTTCAGGCTTCTGATCATAAAGACTTTCACTTGGCTGCATCAAATTGAGTAGGCATCAGACAAAAAAGAATTCATTACATCACAGCGTTACAAATTCAAACTTTCTCCAGTTGATTCATTAACTACAAATAATGCCAGCAATGAATCAAGAAAACAGTAAAGATTAAAGTTAAATAGTGATCTTTAGGGATGGAAAAAATTTATGTTATTGTGAGCTAGAGAACGATTCGACCTTTGTAGTAAGCTTCCGGGCACCAAGACCTCCCGTCTTACTTCCCTTTCTTGCACCAATGGGTTTTTTTATGGTACTGGTAACTGGATGGGAAGGAGCTTTTGGTGAGGCAGTAACTTCAGGTGCCTCATGTTTGTCAGTAGCCTCATTTTCTTTGGATGTGCCAGTAAGCTTCACATGAGATAGACCATTTACTGTCTGATTTGCCGGAGAAGCAAGGGGTGATCTAGGAGAAGTTGGGTCCTCTGTCAAGCTTTTGGCAACTTCCTTTGAAAGTAATTGCCGGTATAATTCAGCTGCTCTTGATGTGTATTTTGCTTCGATTTTACCTCCGTCGGTCCATCCATGCTGTTTAAAGAAAACCTGAGCACGATTATTTCCCCCAAAGCTCATCATTTTCAACTGCTCTGGAGTCCAAGAGTCCAGATTTGTTGACCTGATTTGGAATAAAAGGAAATGCTCAAGTTCAGCAAAGATCAAATGGTTGACAAAATGTCTACATAATAGCTAAATCAGCTTAACATCTTACACCAGAAATTGTGGCAATACGAATAAACAAGTTGATCATGACGCTCAAATCAGCTTATGCAATTTTAGCATAAACAAAGAATAGGGGGCAAGACAATGAAAGAGGGACTATGAAGGGGATTGCATTTAAGATGAAATGGCCGACTGCTTCCAGGAACAACACTTCTGCTTTTTATTTCAAACCTTTCATAGAATTCACGAAAAATCTCCAAAATTTCTTCAAAAAAATATACAAATTTTTCTCTGCATTTTACACTATAATCCTCAAAGTTTTACCTGTGCAGTATCTATGACGGTTGACCATGTAATGATGCTAAATATCATTACTATCTCAACGTATCTGATTTACTGTAATCAATAAACATTACTTCTCCTTAAATATGCATGAATGTCATCTTTTCTGCACAAGGATATGAGGCATTAAATCTGCTAGCAGCCCATATCAAAATAGAGCTTGCATCCTTAGGGTTTTGTCTTCCAAACTGATCAATCTAAGATGCCAATAAATGTATGAGAACAATATTAGACAAACATTGCATAACACCAGGTTCATAAATGCCTCTTCGTCTACAAATTCTGTTTTTCTTTTTTAAAATATCGATTAATTTTAAGAAATTCACATTATTTGCTATGGACAAACTTCGTATGTAGGATCTACCCATTGGCCAGCCTACGAAATGAAGTCTGCTGCATAGCCACGTGGATCAGTAAACAGGTCAACATCTTCAAAGCAAATGTCTAAAACTTGTGACTTGGGCCCAAAACCACCTTCCTGATTAGAGTTAACTTTGTGAGTGAACAGTGATGCAGCTGAATTAAAAGTTTCAATTACAGAACATGCGCCTATCTCGATGACAGATACTACAAAAAACGTAGAGAAATCACGTAAGTTCAGGCCAGTGGAAATATTTAAAGAAAATAATATAACAATAAAATATATCAGAAAATATATTGAAATCTATAGTCAGCTAGTTAAAAGTGAATATTCAATCTGATTCAAAAATATGAGAGACATTCAAGTCAAGTAACATTGGCAAGATGGTAACAAGTTAAACTTAAAATGACCACCTTCTTCCAGGGAAATTTACACTATAAACTCTGGTGTCAAAAAACACCTTATCCCGAAAGCTACATGCGGCCCCACCACCACCAGTTAAACTTATAATCACCGCCTTCCGTCCCAGCTCCAATGAAATAACTCTTTTTTTTCTACAATATCCCAATAATTTTCTCTTATTCCTGTAAATCCCCAGACTCTTTCTTTCACTCCCCTATCTAGACCAGTGTTCGCAAAACGAACCGGAACGATTAACCGGACATAGGGCTTGGAGCAGTTAGAACCAAAACCGGACTACCTGGTCCAGTAGAATTATTTTTTTTCAAAAAAAAAAGGCCAAAAATGGCAGAAAAAAAAACATAACTTTAGTGTATATTATTTTATTACCTACATTTATCTTAAGAAAAAATTTTTTGTAGATGACCAAGGTGGATCAATAACCACTTTTCTCAAGCCTGCTATCAAATCCAACGCTTGAGATGGTTTCCAATCTTTTTGCTCGGAAATAGAATGATTAATTAAGAAAGCAATAGGAAAATGAATACTTATTTTACAATAATGCAAACTAAAGTAGCATCCTTTGAGGCCAAAATCTGGGTAGGATGCTGCTATTGTTTCACAGTTCCATATAAGAACAAACTGAAGAGTAGAACAAATAATTTTATCAAAAAAACTAATTTTATTAAGCAAAATAGAAAGCACTTCCCATATTCATCCAAAAACATAATTTTATTGAAATAATAAGTATATCAAAAATATAATTTTATTAAGCAAAATAAAAAACACTTCCCATATTCATCAAAAGACATAATTTTATTAAAACAACATAATTTTATCAAAATAATAAATTTATTAAGCAAAATAAAAAACACTTACCATATTCATCAAAAAATGTAATTTTATTTATTAAGCAAAAATAAAAATCACTTCCCATATTCATCAAAAAACATAATTCTATTAAAAAATATAATTTTATTAAAAAATAATTTTAATAAGCAAAATAGAAACCCACTTCCCACATTCATCAAAAAACATAATTTTACTAAGCAAAATATTTTTTCTTTTAGAAAAATCAATTTCTCAAAAACCCGTAATGTTGGAGCAAGAAACAACCATCAATGTTGGAATAATCGAACAAATCAAGACACATGCATTGTAAAGGCTTCGATCATCTTTGAAACGCACCAAATCTCATCAAAAAATATTTGGTATTTTGGGTTTAATTGATAAAAGGGGGGAAATTTCAGATCTATGCAATTTTCATGACATCGTGCAACAAAAAAATTCATATAAAAAATTTACTCAATTATAAATAAACATACCGATTGTATTTAAGATATGAAGCCTTGATAATCGAAATACACAACTCAATTTGATAAAAAAGACCTTCAATGGGATCAAAAATATGTTTTTTTGGATTGAACACAGGTTCTCTGAGCAGAAGCTTTGCGGGCCAAAATCAACCCACGATCTTTGGTGTTTTGAACAAATTGATACATGAATCAGGTAAATACTTCAAATAGCTATCAAAACTCTCAAATTTCTTCACGAACCATTAGGTATTGATATTATTGAAAGAATGGCGGAAATTTTCAAAAACCTGGAAAATCCGCCATTTCAATCCAAGAAATTCCTTTCTTTTTCGATGTTTAAATCTAAATTCACTGTTTTATATTCATTAGATCGTGATTAAAGAACGAAAAAAAGCCAAAAATGGCTGGAAAACGAATAAAAAAAGGTGAAAATTTGGATTCATGGTTTTCCTACTATATACAATGGCCCCTATTTCAAAATAACACCCATTATTAATATTGTACCGTTATATCTTAAAAACACCGTTATATCGGCTAACCAGTACGGTTAGGAGAAAACCAGCCGATAAGACAAAAACACGGCCGGTTCAACCCCTCATCGGCCAGTTTTAGAATGGAAATTTTAGGGGGGTATTACCTAGGCTACTAGACAAACAAAATCGGCCCTAACTAGACTCAAAACCCTAGTGGTTCCAAGCTAACCCGCCGGTTTCGGTTCTAACCAGCAGGTTTTTTGAACAATGATCTAGACAGAACAAGAGAGACCGAATTCCTCATTTGAAGGAACCCATAAGATTTTCTCGTTTGGAGGAAACATAAGATTTCATGCCTGCCTCCCTCCCTCCTTCCCAGCTTGGAATTGGCCAAAATTTTGAAGGGAAATCAAATTCCAGCTACCCAAATCACTTTTTACAACAATTTTCAGGCAGACCTAACTCTCATAATAAGCTCATCCATAGAATCGTCATCTGAATAAGGCGGAATAAAAACTTTAATTCACACAATGGCAACAAGTGAAAAAACTTTGCGCCCTCCCCACCTTATCTCTTCCTCTGCCTTATCTCCTCTGCAATTTCTCAGAGAGAGAGAGAGAGGAGAGGAGGTAGGGTCGTCCGTTTTTTACTCCGTACGTAACGTAGTCGTCCTAACTCGTACGTCTCGTACTCTCTAAATAAGTTGACGTTC